TTCAGCAACAAAAATAGAAAGCAGCTTATAAATAAAATCAAAACTCTGTATCAGAATGTCAATTTCAACAACACATTTCAAAAAGTTAAGTACTTCTAATTTAGACTGGACATCAACAACAAAAATAAGCTTTCCCAAATTTCTTTGCCCTCGATACTTGAAAATACTTTCAAAATGAAGCTACCATTAAAAAAGTACCCTCCTCAATTACTCTCTCTTCAAGCAGAAGCTGCTGTTCCCTTCTTCCTTGGAGCTGCTTCAGTCCCTGAACATATTGCAATTCGAAGTTCATTAACATAGACAATTCAGAGCTCCTTGACTACACAAACTACTAAGACACTGACACGGAAAATCAACAAAGACTACACGAACTTAATTCTAAAACTCAATTACAAAAATAGATGCAGAGAACATACTTCTTGCTCAATAAGCAAAGACTACACAGAACTTTTTTTTTTTACTTCAATTACAAAACAAACTCCACTAGCGTAGTGGATTATACAATGTGGATCACTGTTTAATCAGAAACTAAAGATCACAAATAACAGCAAGCCATAATACGACGTGTACCTTCTCTGAAATTGGTCTTGAATCTGCGAGGGACGTTGCGGAGGTACCTCATGCGGCCTGTACCAGTTGTCTTCCTGCGGATTGCCTTCACACTCCAGTTGTCTGAAATCCATTTCATTCAACATAACAGTAAATTATATATCGGACTAAGAAGAAAGTTTTCATAGCGTCATATACAAAACAAATTATACGGTAAGAGAAAGAAATTTACATGATCTCTTCCTAGCAGCAGGATAAGCACAAGCAGAACATCGGCTCTTCTGGAGATGGAAACTGCGGCGACCGCACCTCACACACAGTGTGTGGGTCTTGTTCCTCCTCTTACCAAAGCTTCCTGTTCCCTTACCCTATAATAATAACAATACAAAATCCACATTGGTTAGCACATCAACACCTCTTGCAGGCATAAAAGGTGGGGAAGTAAGAGTAATGGAGTAACACTTACCATTGCTGTGCAGTTGCAGAAACCCTAGCGTCTTCCTCAGATAGATGAGATTCGGCGATAATAAGAGAGTTTATACGTCGTAGTTGGAAAGGGCTTTAGGGTTCTTAAAGTGGGCCAAAAGTGTTTTGGGCCTAGTATCTTACCGAGCCCATTTATTCTATTACTTGGCCCGGAAAACGTCTATACGTAAGAATAATGAGATCCATTATTTAATTTTTTTTTATAGAAGTAATGGATAATGACAAATACGTTTAACTAATAATTTAAAAAATTGTGAATTAAAAATTGCACTAATTTGGAGATTCTTAAAATCTTAGTATCTCAGTCATTTCGATTCCCACCTTGTAATTTTCAGACAGAAAAAAGAAAGAAAACGATATATTTTGATACTCACATGCTATTGAGTGTTAAAAACACCTCCCATGTGGGCGCAAAATATTGTATTAATGGCACTTCAAAAAGAGATAGTAGGACCACTACAAAGTACCAACTCAAAACATGGAACTGGAAAAAGAAAAAGATGATTAATTGAGGTGGTTCCATATAGAGTTTCGGAATTTATTCTTGAAAAAATAGTCTAAAATCTCTTTAATCTATACCCGAAATCTCAACTACACACTCCAATTTCATGGGTGTCCTATCACCACATGAATTATTTAAAAATGAAATAAATAACCCCTTAAAACGCTATAACCACTCATGTGTCTTGTGGTGAAACACATGCGCCTGACACGTGTTTTTCACCAATTAATCTTCGTTAATTATTTTTTCTCCTTCTTCTTTATCATTTCTTCCTCAATTATTTTTCAACCTTAATTCTTTGTGAAAGTTTCGATTTAAAATAATATTGAGGGATTTGAATCCAATTTGGGAGTTTTTTTTTTTTTGTTGAAGATTTAATTACCTTGTGTAGTTGTAGAGAAATGTAGACTTGCCGCCTCCTCCATCCTTTTCTTCAATCCGCGGCGGCGAATTTTGAATAGAGATTTAATCCTTGGTTTTCGCCTTAATCACTTCCATCTCTTCACCACTAACTCTTTTACTTTCTTCACCTGCTCAAAGTTTTAACCCAAAAAATATTTGTTGTCTTGTCCATCAAATTGAATACAAAGTTTAGTCTTCTATAACAAATAAATTTAATCTAAACCCTCTTTAGTATATAAAGTTGTTGAATTTATATTCAACGGTGAAAAAGAAGTATCTTTCTTCAAAAAGTCAAGAACATTGTTATGTAAAGACACAAAACCTTATCAAGAGAAGAAAAAGTTTGATGGTTTGGTTTAGATTACAAACTAATTATTTACAAAGATTAAAAATTAATTAGGAGATGAATTCAAAAAAGGTTGCCGGAAAATCTTCAAACTCCGACCATGACAAAATTTAGATCAGGAAAATAGTTTAGACAATAAGAAAGAGAAAGAAAACAATCAAAAAAGAAAGAGAAAAAACGATCAAAAAGAAAAATAAATAAAAAATAGTCAGCTCACTCTCTCAAAGAGAGTGAATGCACTCTTTGTGCCAACTCAGCATTTCAGGAGTTATATATTTCATTTTAAAATAGTTCAGAGGTGATATGACACCCGTAAAGTTGGAGTGTGTAGTTGGGATTTCGAGTATAGGTTGGAGGGGTTTTGGACCATTTTCTCATTATTCTTTATTATTATCATTTTTTAAAATATCTATAAATGCTGATTCCAACCAGGATATAGCAAAAATACATGCCATCAACACTGCAATTCAACTTGTTAGGTGTAGTACAGAGAAAAATGTGATTAAGCAAATCTATTTCATCATTTCTTCGAGTTTGCATTAGCTAGGCTTTTGGTAACACCTATTATTTATCTGATCTAATACTGCATATTGAGAGCTGACTGTTCAGTACTGTATATATATAAATATAAAGTATTAAGAGCAACAACATCCGGGTGTATTCCCGCCACAAAGCGACGTCTGGAGAGTATAAAGTGTATGTAGAACTTACCTCTACCTCAAAGCGTATAAACTATAAGAGCATTGGGGGGAAATGTATCAAGAGCGAGCAGATTATAGGAATTTATTGTTGAGGTGGACACTGCCTATTGTAGCATGTTGAAGAATTCAAGTGTTAAAACCGTAGGAAAGAGACTGATGTAATGAGCCCTCATCTCCTCAACCATTTCAATCATCTCTTCTGTTTATGCCCCTTATCTTCTTCAACCACAATTTACCAATCTTTAATGATTTGGGGTCCAAAACCAGCTCTTAGATTAGTGGCTAATTAAAGCATTTCTCATTATTACTTAAGGTCCCATTGACATAAAATTAGGTGTTCTTTAGTTGTATGTACTAATCACATCAAATATCAACCCAACTCACTCTTCAACATTCTCTTATAACAATGATCATTGTTGAAATTCCATTCCCTAATTACGTACGTTTAATTATTCATAAGAATGCTATTCCCTCCATTTCAGTTTACTTGGATTCATTACATATTAACTATATAAAGTAATAGTAACAAAAATTAGAATTTCAAAACATCATTAATAAAGTTAGTTTAGGAAAATACGTCTCTAGTTAAAGTTTATTCGAGGTGTGTCAAGTCAACTAGGACAAAGTAATACGAAACGGAGTGAGAACTCAACTTCAGCCTAAGCTTTAAATATCCTCCTTCTGCTAGGTGGTGGATAGAACCATCAATTCTGAGCCCTCAGAACCTTTTGATCATTGATTCCCTCAAAAACTACAATTAGCTTTTTACTTTTCTATTGTTTATACCCTCCTTACTTGAAAATTTTCTGCACAGAGGGTAGGGTCAGAATAATGAATATAATGGAAAGGGAAAAATATATCTGGAGGAACAACTAATGCAAGGAAGTGTCCCTTGTATTTCATTCCCTTTTTGCTTTTTGTCTTCAACTAAAAAGGAGCAAATCAGCTCTGTCTGTCCCTATATTAAACTTCTTGAAATTATAACTTCAAAGGAGCCAAGGCTAATAGCAGTATCTTTTGCTGCACAGATAGAAAAATCAGATGGAGGAGTCGTACAACAAGATAGAGCCACAAATGCTGCTTAAGAAAACCATCCAAAAGACTAAGAATTTCCTCTACAAAACTCCTCATAATCTCAAGTCATTTCTATTTGGAGGTCACCACAAGCTACCTAAAACTGCTCGTCACTTCAATCCCTTTTTATCAGTCAGCAAACGATTCTCAAGCAGTAAAAGAATCCCAAAGACTACTGTTAAGGAGTTGGATGACTTGTACAGGGACTACTATCAACAATGGCATCACCCTGATCACAATGAGATTCAGGAGAGAAAGATCACTAGCAAAAATGCAAGGAAATATCAAGGGATGGCTGATGGCGATTATAGCGAAAGCCAGAGGAAACTTGCAGTGCGGTTTGGTATGGAAGACATAGAAAGTGAAAGGAGAAAGGAAGATGAGAAGAAAGGGCGAGAAGTCTTAACACGAAGCACAAGTAAAGGGAGTCTCACTTTACTGAAGAAGATGGAGGAATTGGAAATGGTGGAAGGAGAAGATATGGATCATGTGCTAGATATAGAAGAAGTGCTTCAATGCTACACTCTGCTAAACAGCCCAGTTTATGTTGACATTGTTGACAGATTCTTCATGGACATGTACACTGAGTTCTCGATTCGAAAACCATCAGTTATTGTCAACAGTTCAATGCGAAGACTTGGTCCTCTCAAGCTCTAGAAACAAACAAGTATGGTTTGTGTGTGCCTCAAAGATTGTGAGTAGTGGTGCAATTCCCATCTCTTTTACTTCTGTTCCTGTTTGCTCATTGTTTTTCAGTTAATATCAATTAAAAAGATCAAGGATTGTGTGTATTTCTTTGCTATTTTGGTTGTGTAATTCAGAGTATAATCTACTCAGTAGATATATATTTTGGCTGGATTGTGATTACTTTAAGAGTCAACCTGACCAACTGTTTAAAAGTGTCATAAGAGATAATTCTAATAGATTTATGTCTTTTAAGCCTATTTCTTACAAACAAAACCAGAACACTTGTACTACCAAGCACAATGATATCACAGAATTTCAAGAAATGAGAAAGTGGAGCTAAGGTACCAAAATAGCAATAGGCTAAGCAAGTGACCAAACCATTGAGCTTTTATCAGGAAACTTTCCGGCAATCTTTGCGGATCTGTCCCATTGGTGCAGTCAGGACTCCCAAGTTGGAAAGCTTCATCATTGTCGTACCGAAATCCTTGTGAAACAATGACACATCTGAAGCATAAGCTTGGACCCAGGTTTTAGTTTCTTCCCCTGCCGTCAGCTGCTGATCGACGTACAGTATTCCCCTGCCTTGTAGAAGACTGCGGTAATACAGTGTACCAAAACTTTCTCCTGGTCCCTCAAAGTCCATCGGTATTGCTGGCTCCTCCACCAGGGAAGATGACAATTTATGGATAATAGATGATGGTGAAAGTGATGTTGAAATTAGTTGGGAAGGGGATAGTGATTTTGATATTGGTGACATCAAAGAGGCCTGATTGGTGTTGCATTTTGACCTCAAGAAACTCAAAAATTCTGAGTCCATAGTAGGGTCGGAGCTGTTAGTCCCGCTGAAGTTGGAGAGCCTGTTGACGAAGAATTTGCAATGGATCACCCCAGTGCTGTGAGCCCCTGTTCGAAGCAATTCCAATCAAAACAAACCAGATTTCATTTGTGTGAAAGCAATCGAAACAAAGAATCCTATGGTAAAAACAATACCTAAGAGGCTTACAGTCTCCCTTTCATCGAAACCTTTTGATGAGAATGACTCAATGATCTTGGAAAGATCATCCTGAGGACTAGGAAGCTCAAAAGTTGCATCTTCTGCGAAAGAAGACAGACTGTCTCTCCTTCCCGTTTTCAGTGGGTAGAAAGGGCCACCAGACTGAAATAAATGGAGGATTCTTTCAGTTGCTTGTGTGTGAGAGATAGTGAGGGGAGGAAGGGGAGAAGGGGGTTACCAAAATAATGCTTTCTCTAGCAGCCAAAACAACAGCATCAGCACAGGAAACAACTCCAGGACAAGCTTCTTCGAGCTCTAATTTAACGATATCTATTACGTCGAAGCCCTTCAATGATTCGTTGGGAGGAGATTCTTTCTCGCTATGCATTCCTTCAACAGAGTCCAGTAAAACTGAGGCATCGCACCCCTGTTATTTAGCAATGATCCATTCAAAAGCAACGAGTCATCAACTAGTATTCATTAACGAGAACTTCACAAGACAACACACTTTAAAAATTCATGATTTCTCCTGGAGCCATTCACTAGACTATTTGAGTTGGGAAAAAGAGAAACAAATTGATTTCTCACGATACAGAGATCATATATGAGCACAACCAGTAACAAATATACACGAGAAAAGGAAGTTCACGCTGAGAATTTACGAACTAGCTAACCAGAATTGGTAATCACGTAAACCAAAAACCAAAAAATGGAGTTATATCGCAAAACAGAAAGTAGAAACACCAGGTTATATCAAACGGACTCATTAGGCCTCTGTTTTAACAACGACAAGAGAATTACCAAAGTTCAATTTAATAAACTTCCTTGATAACAATCAAACAATATAACGAAGACTGATCAATATACTTAAAACGCAGGCTTCGTCATTGATAATCCTAACTTCATGTATATATAACCAAAAACGAAAAAATGCACTGATGTATAAGAACACGAGCAGATACAATTAGGTGTTTAGGAAAATGACCTCAACAAAGCAGTCGTGGAAAGCAAGCCTCAACAATGCAGGAGCAATCTGTGGTTGTTTTCTGAAAAGACTCCGAACACTTGATCGGATTATTCGCTCAGCTTGAGGGCAAGTTTGTTGGTAGTAATCGTATATGAGAAAACCAACAGACGCAGTTTGTTGTTGGAGCTTCCTCCCCTCTACAGAAGTGGTAGCGAACATTGGAAGTGGCGGAAACGAGTGATCATCGAAGATTGAGTACTGAGAATCACGAGAGCAATATTTGTCAGTGCGTGAAGAGAATTCCAACTTCACATTGATATCATCAACGTCTTGGTTCTGCAAGGAGATGAGAATGCATAACAAAAACACTAGAAAACTCAATTTCCGTGTAAAATCCATGGGAATCTGAAACTTGGAGAGGAATTTTTGAGAGGAAGAAGGCGGTAATAGAATGATATCGATTATGGAAGTGTACGTTCGTTACTTGTCAGTGAAGCTGGCTAGCTTGCTGTGCACCGTAACTAACTCTTACCCGGTGTGTTAACAAGTATACCCTCTATCTTTCCCCAATTTTTCATTTCTGCCATTGCTTCATTAGCGAAAGAAACCAAAGGAGTAATTAATACTTCCAGTCTCCAAAAGGAGAACCTTCATATTATATAAGGTGCTCAATCAACTTCTTATACCATTTAAAAATATTTTAGCAACAAAATTGTGATTTTGTATAGTTAAGTTTTTAAATATATCAAAAAATTTCATACTAAATGCCTAAGCTACACAGGAGCATCTCAATGTCTAGTACTCTATTGGAACTCAGCCTGGCAATGTTGATAAATATCCTCTTCGAGTATTTGTGACTATGAATCACATACATAGGCGTTTTGAGAAAGGCTTATATCAAACATTCCCGTCAAGAATATCATAACATTTCTCGATTTGTGCATGTCATCCTTGCACAGGGGTCATGCTAATCTTCTCTTCTCTATATCGTTCCAATTTTATCAAATGTCCCCAAAGGAACAAAAATTTCATAATACAGTTGCAAGAATGACATGAAAAAAATCTGTTACATTAGGAGGATCAAGAAAATAGGCACAATTTGACGGTTGGCTTAAGCTTGGAAGTTCCACACAAAATAGCAACATACAAAAAGTCACAATAGCAGATTGTCTCTAGTAATTGAGTAGATTCCAAGAGCTCATTTCGTAGCAATATGTTGATGCATGTGGCTCATGGCACACAGCTACAATGAAAATATAGCAATTGTACAATCAATTACACCAGACTTGGCCAGAGCCTCCACCAGTCATCTATGATAGACTTTGTAGGCAGGACCAGATTAAACAAATTTGAGCCCCCAAAACATAGCAAATGCCTCTTCCACTCGGCAGATCAATCAACAAATAATAATCTTAGCAACAGAAAGCCTTAAAGCCATGCCAAAGCATCTATCGTATTTTTTTCTTTTCAAATGAGAAAATGAATAAACAATGACAAGATTCTTGTGTAACTTAACAGAAGGCTTCAAAAACTCTTCTGAAGAAACCAACATGTGAATGTTGCCACTCCAACTTTTGCAAGCCACATGTTTTCTACACCAACACCTATGGGTCCATTAGTGGATCTACAACAACACCTCGTCCCAAAGCAAATGTGCACAACATCTGAATTTTGTATGCATACTGAATTAGAGCTTCAGTTGCCAGAAGATACAAGAACATTGTGCTCCTTTAGACGTCTTTGAAAATGAGCTAACTGGTTCTGCAACTCTAGGATGCCAGCAGCCTTTTGTGAAAGGATTGCATTTAATCGAGAAATATAATTGTCCAGCTGGTTCCCTGGTTGATCTGCCTCAACTAATAGATTCATCTCCTGAAATTGTGAAGCAGGATTCTCAATTCCCATGAATATCCAGCTAGCCAAGCAAAATTAACTTGTCTACAAAGTGACAAGCAAATACACAACCACGGAAAAAAGTACTTGCCAACATCCTTACGGGATTACAAGATTGACATAAAGTATTTATAGAAAGACTTTTCCAACTACAAACATCAGGTATAATCAGTAACATCACCATTTTTTGAGAATATATATCTACTTCAACTCCCTATGCTGAAGGCGTAAATCATTGTTCCACAAAATTCATGTTCGTTACATACCTCTCGAACAATGTCCATTGTTTCCTCCACTTGTTTCCGATGCGCATTCACAAGATCTTCCTCATCCTGAAAAATTAAACATAAAGCATTCAGAGGCACACTCAGGCTAAGTGAAATTCCTCAATTTTCCACAAAATAGATTCACCTTTAAGAGAGCATTCAAATCATCATCCGAGTTTGAATACTTTGCCTCTGTTCTAGGTGGCTCCTTCCACTTTGTCTGAGCATTTGCTCTCTTCATTTTATCTTCTGAATTGGAGATAGTGTAACCATCAAGCTTCTCATTCTTCTTCCACATTGGCTTCTCTTGTTCATAGAAATCTTCATCATATTCATCCTTGTCAGTTTGTTCAGGCCATGAATCACCAGTATCATCTTCAAATGTTGATGTAGAAGGTACAACTGCAGAAAAAGATAATGTTGTCGACTCCTTCAGATTCAATGTTGAGGATGAGACATCCTTCTTTGAGTTGTTCCCTTTTGAAAGACTCTTCACCCTGAAATTTACAGCAAAGTGCAAAGCTAAGACTATGAACACAGAAAATAGCAGCCGTGGAAACAAAATCTTATTCAACAAATGATTACCTGTCAGCATATCTTAATGTATTTAAAGTATGCTCACAAGATCCTGCATTTGGGGAAATGCAAGATATCATAACAGTACGACTATTTCCAACAAAAGAGTCCCTCAGCACTTCAGTTAATTTACTGCCTCTAAAAGGAATATGGTTTTGATCATTGTCAAGGGCTCTAATGCATTCCTTTAGTGCCAGCAAACTTTTATTAATCTCTGCTCCTTCAATTCTGCATAACAGAAGACAAGGTAAATATGGTAGTAAGAAAAGAATTTAGCGATACAATATTATTAAAAGACGAAGAAATGCAGTAACTTAGTAGATAAACACCTGGTTTGCTTATCATTATCAGTTGTGTCTGCACCACGTTCACTTCCTGCAAGGTCTATGAAGGAGAGCTTCCCAATGACACGGGGAGGTTTAGATTCACTACCGTCAGCTGACCTCTTAACAGAAAGCTGGAGAATAGCATGTGACCTAGATGATTCCTCATTGGCACCAGTGGTGCCAGTACTTCTAGTTGCATTTCCTCTGTCAATGAGCTCCTTAATCATCTCCACATCAGAGACCCTGTATTCTTGCAATCCAACTATACATACTTGTTGTTTACCATCCTCTCTCATGCAAAGTTTCCTGCAAAGAATTAGTTTCAGTTATCCTCAGAAAGCTACAACACTTTAATGTTGCAAAATGCAGAAGCACTTACTTCCGATCATTAAGCAAGTCATAGAGCTTTCCACCGTATATCTCAAAAAAACTGAAAAACAATTGAAAGCCCTGGTTCCGGTATGTATGATGAATGAGCCTCAAAAGATCCCTAGATGCCCTCAGAGGTAGTGGTTTCATGGTATACGTTTTGCCACTTCCTGAATAAGCCAAAGATGATAAGAATTTTAGAGGAAGTTATAGAAAAAGTATGAAAACCAAGCCTCTTTGCACGATCATCACAGATAACTACCAGATTGATTATGAAAACAAACTTGGAAGCACAGTCAAAGACCTCTCAAGGAAGCTGTAAAATTGGCATATGACAGAATAAATTGACTGGGCATTGGTTGTTTCATATGCCTTGCATTTGAAACAGTGGACTGAAATTACTGCATATGAAACGACTGGAAGACAAATTTTGAACAAAATGCAAGAAGAAAATTTGAAAACTTTAGGCTATTTTTATCAGCAATTGCACCATCAGCTGATTAATATTTTTGTAATGGTTCCTAAAATAGTTGAATTTGTATGAATGAAACACACTAGAACTTGCCATGACCTAGATCCCTGGAGAATGAGCATTTACCATTGAATGTAGAATGATCTTTTCTCATTTCTAAGTTAATGTTTGCACATTCTGCAGGGCTGTGAGATTAAAAGTCTCTGATTGTGTTATATTTATAAAGACCTGGGACTTCAGGAATTGTTGCAATAAGAGAATTTGAGTACAAAAGCTTCATAGTACACCAAATCCCCCTACTCCCTGAATGGGCAGCACTAGACGGTGTTTGATGTTTTAAATCTTGATCTTCAACCAATTGATAAAGGAGTTTGAACATAGCAATAACAAAGAAAAACCACAAATGATTACAGGTGTAGAATATATCCCTTAGCATCAATAAGCAGAGGGTCTAAAAACAATATTAACAAAAGTGTTTTGTAAAAACTCACCCCACATGATAAGTGCATTCCTAGATATTGGAGAACACTGATAAATCGAGCAAATAGTAACAATGTGTAAGTGCATTCAGACCACTATTCTTCACAGTTCGAACAAGCAAAAGGATAAGTAAGTGGATGAAGTCAAAACAACTTGTGCCAAGAGAAATAATGGTGACATTGATTAAAAAAAATACTGATTAAGCTAGGTAGCATACCTGTTTGCCCATACGCAAAGCAAGTAGCTTTTGTGCGTTGGAAAATTATTGGGACAATGGGCTCCACTGTTTCATGGTATACCTAAGGAGACATGTGGGCAGACCAAAGTTAACAATGATCTGAATGCAGTTAGGAGTTTGGGGGTCTGATGTAGAATCATGTATTTTATAATCACCTCATCATTCGAAACCTCCTCATTTAGCACAGCATCAAAGACAAACTCATGCTTCTCAACATATTGAGTCAGATCAACCTGTATTATAGTCGTATATAAGAACTTCAAACTCAAAGAAAAAGGTTTTAGGGCAAACTTGGGCAAAACTAAGCAGCAAGACATAGGAGGGAGATTTACAAAACACAAAGAGAACAATGGTCATGTCAAATAATCATATTTCCACATTCGTGTAATCTTATTGCAGAAGTTTTTGGCATTCAAGAAGAGATATCTTTGTTAGCAAAATGATTTCCGTCAGGCAAATAATGGGTAAATGTTTGATAACAGTGATTTTCAGGTTGTCAATTACTAGAATATTCACTCTAGTCACGAGATTGAAATTGAAGGGATAGACATGCATATTCAACTGCCAATACAGGGTAAAAACAACTGCATTTCCACAAACCTTTAGTTTAGTTTCATGGACTACTAGAGAGTTGAAACGTGTTTCAACGATGTCTTCTTCATTCTTCGTTAATTCCTTTTTGTTTAGTGGTCGCTTACGCACCTGGAAGTAGATAACCATTAGAAACAACTTGAACAAGTACTAACAACTTTGTTCGCGTGCAAATACACATGAAAAAAGGTAGACAACTCTTGTGCAAGAGAAAAAATAAAGAAATCGCATAACAGGGATTGCATGCTGGATATCGTTAAGAAAATGAGAATGATTCTGCGCTATACAAACTGAGAAGTAGAATACTTAGACT